ACCTGGCAGAGACCGGCGCCGGCACCCGCGAGCACCTGCTTGTGCAGCGGCAGCACGCCCGTGTCGGCCGGGTCAAGCACTTCGCGCAGGTAGTCGTTGACCGCGAGCTTGATGGCCTTCTCGGGGATGACACCGACGAGCGTCGGCGGGAGGCCGCGGAAGAGACCACGGACACCGTCGCGCGCCAAGAGCGTCTTGAAGCAGTGCACCGGTCCCGTGAAGCTCGTCGAGCTCTGCAGATTGGTCTTGACGATATCGATGGGAAACGTGGCCGAGACACCAATGACGCCGGCAAAGCCACCGACCGCGAGCTTGCCGACGAGCGGGATCTTCTTCTTTTTGGCGGGCGTCGGCAGGAGCGCAGACGGGTGGAGCAGCGTCGTCGTCGTCGAAGTCATGGGCGCGTAGCAGAAGGCGGAATGATGGGAGGGACTCGAGAGATTTCTTCTGTGATGCTGCGTCCTACACCGTACGCAAGATACCTTGCCTTCAACACTTTGTGTTTCCCCAATCACTGGCTGCGCTGTGATTGGTGCATTTGTCGAAATCTCCATCTGGACGGGATTTGATTGGCTAAAACCACATTGCAGTTCACCGCCGTGACACCCACTCGTTCCACATCCTTTATTGTATTGCGCACGTCGCATTGCGTCTTTGTATCTAGAATTAATTTCTAGAAAAAATGCATCCCCCAAATTGGGTTTCCCAGCTCTACCTCAATCGCGAACACACTGGCACGGTTGCGTCGGCTGCATTTGTGCAGCGTCGTTAAGGCCAAGCAATCTACCATGCTGTACGCTGCTGTCTCTTTGGGTCGGACCAGACCAGTGGTCATAGGCACCGCACGCTACCACGCTTACACGACACATCGTGTTGTATAAACGCACGGGAATCTTGGTCGTGTCAGAGGACCACCGGGGTAGGAATGAGCCACTAATAATACATGACGTTGAAGTTGAGATAGTTCTGGTAAATGACGGAGCGGTTCAACGCACAACGGATCGACCCCTGGCCACCGCAAGATCTGTGACGGCTAGCGGGTCGCGAGAAGCTCGACTTGCGCGTGCCAAGTCTCTCTAGTAGTATGATGCTACATATACTGCCAAGCGCCTCTGTTGGCTGTGGATGGAACTACGGGACATGCGACGCCACTTCAACATGTTGCGACGCCGCATTTGAATGTGTCACAGACGCTCCGGCTGTTGCCCGCTGCCGCCCCAAGCTGCCTCCGATCGACTTGGTCCTCCACGATCTGCGCGCATGGAAGCAGTGTGGCGGCGGCGAGTTTGACGGAGACCAGAGCTGCGACGACGGCTGGAGCTGCTACGCGTGGAACCAATGGTTTTCCGAGTGCGTACCGACCGAGTCGCTCGCGCCATGGAATGCAGCGACGACGGAATCACCGCCCGCTCCACCAACCATCCCGGCCATCCAGAGACCCAGCATCCAGCCGCCAAAGCCAAGCCAGGTATGGTCGGGCCCTTCCGCGACACCTGGCGTCGTCCCGACAAGTGTGCCACCCACGTCTGTTTCGCCGCCACGACCGTCGTCACCACCGCCAACGGTTGCCCCGACGGTGCCGCCACGACCAACCACCCGACGCCAGCCGACGGCAACACCGACACCAAAGCCTTTGGCAACGCCTCGCCCAACGTCACCGCCGCCAACGGTTGCCCCGACGGTGCCGCCGCGACCAACCACCCGACGCCAGCCGACGGCAACACCGTTGCTGACGCCGTCGCCGACGTCCCCATTACGGCGATCGACAGTGTTCTCGGACTATGCAATCTTTACGGCTGCCGGCGCGGCCCTCACCGAGTACTATGCCAACATCTACGCCTCACCCTTCGCCTTCGTGGCCAACACGAGATGGACCTACACCGTCGACACGGGGGCGCTCGCCGTCGGGAGCAACGGCCAGTGCCTCGCCGCCCAGCGCGCGTCGGACGGACGCTACGTGGTGCAAACGCTAGCGTGCGACGCGGGGCATAGCAGCCAAGCATGGCGCATTGACTTTCGAACGTATCGCATCGTCCATCGGAACATGTTGGGTCTCTGCTTGGACTGCCCCGGCGCGGGTGTGACGCTCTCACCGTGCAACACGGGCACGACGACGCAGTGGGTGCGTCTCGCGGCGCCAAGTGCGTTTTATGACCGCACCGACTTTGTGAACCAAGACGTCGCATCGGTGCGAGCGAGCGCCGCCATCGACTGCGTCGGCAAGTGCGGCGCGATGGACACGTGTGCGGCCGTCGTGTGGACAAGTACTACACCCACCGGTGGGATGTGCTGGCTCAAGTCGGGCCGTCGGTCGCCCATCGCAACCAATGGGGCAACCGCCGTAGCATTGACACCGCCGTCGCTGGCCGTGTGCCAACTACTAACGCTCGATGTCGGTGTCGACTATGTCGGGTACGACGTCGGCTCTGTCAACGCGGACGCACCGTCCGACTGTTGCGCGCCGTGCACGGCCATGGCCAACTGCAACGCATTCAGTTGGGCGGATCGTACGTGCTACCTCAAGAACGCGCGCATGGCAACGACGGCCAATGCGGCGGTGACGTCCGCACGCGTCCGCAAGTGCTCGGTGCTGCAAGACAATGTCGATTGGATCGGGTTTGATATCGGGTCGGCGGCGGCGGTGGCGGCCGAGGTAGACACATTTTGTGTCGACGCGCTGGAACGACTTTGAACTAGGATTGTTGCAGCCTGTGTCGAAACAACTGGAGCTGCCAAGCCTATGTGTGGAGCAATGTCAATGGCGGAACGTGCTGGTTCAAGTCTGCGCGCGGCCCAGCCCAGACAAAGCTAGGTGTCCGCTCGTCGCTCGTGCTCTTTTAAATGCATCGAGCTCGTTCCAAATTGTACATATCGTCATCGTACGCTCAGTCAAAGTATCTTTATCTAGTCCCTTTTGGTCGCTACTGCTCAAGAAACACAAGACGACTCGCGATGGCCGATTCAACAGGCTAGCGTCTTAGCGGCAGTCGACCCAGTCGCGCCACGGCAGTCGC